CCCCCCCCTCTCTTCCTCCCTGGACCCGCCAGTTGATTTAAAAGCAGAAAGGATTCAAAAAAATAACAATTTCACATAATTCACTCTTCAAGGCTGCAATGCCGTCCACAAAAAAGAGGAGAACTTCCTCCCTTCAAGAAGCAGACTGCAGCAAAAATCGCTTACAGAAGGACGAGTTCTGGGATGTTTCAAGAATGATTGTTCTGATCAAGCGTCCGCATGCAGCTTAATTCATACGTCTCCAGTCCTTTTGCTGATCTCGGAGAGCTTGAGAGAGAGCGATGCCTTACCTGCTTAACTTTCCACAACTTGAACGAGTCAGAAGGTCGCGGATTAGAAAAATGTTTTAAAAGTTTGTTGCTAAACTATTTACCTTTGGTGGACGACATTCTTTTTATGCTGCAAAGCGCTCGCTAAATAAGTGAAATGCTGCAGGAGTTTAACGCAAGAAATAAGGAAGTGAACTTAAAAAAACAACGCCGAAATGCGATGCAAGATGCAAATATGCGGTCAGGTTGCATACAGACGATGCTAACTCAATAAAAGTTGACAGTTACGTCTAAATCTACCAAAAAATAGTCTCGAACGAGAATGCGCCATAACCTCCAGCCGGAGATAAATCTGCACAACGAAAAGCTTTTGCTGGACGCGAAATTTACAGCATTGCCAATTCCTAAGAAGAAGGAACGGAAGAATCATGTCGATCTGTTAGTGCTGTTCTTACTCAAGAAGGAAGGGCCAAAGCAGAAAAAAAAAGCTGGCCAATAAGGAAAGTTTAGGTTTCCCTGTGACCAAATGGAAAATTAAGCGCAAAATTCGTCAAAAATAAGCCGGACATCTTTTGCCACAACAAGAGGAAACGAAATCAAAGAGGCAAGACGTACGCTGTCTTGGGAAGTCACGTGCTAGAGGATAGTATTTGCAGAAAGATGATGGATGTATCAAAAACTTCTTGCAGTTTCAACAATCGCACTCGGATTAGGAATGATGTTTTGTGCCCATCTTATATGTTTTTGACATGATTTAGGCGAAATTTATATTTAAGAATAAGCTAGTTCGAACTGACTGAGTAGCTTTAGCACAGGAAACAACTAACTGCATCAGAAAAATTCGAATAAAAACTTACTGGTAATCGGCTTACGCGTGGGGCAGTAGCAAACAACTCGCAGCAATTCGAGGAACTGATCGTAGCTGACTCCTTCGTCCAGGATGAGTTCGTCTCGCGCCCTCTCGCCAAAAAACTCCTGGGCAAAGAACGTGGATAGTTCGGCAAGCCAACCTGGATTCACGAACACTGATCGATCTATAAAACGAATATCTCAACCCAACACCTGTGCCGGATAACGCATTTTTCAGTTTTCCCTCATCTGCGCATGCTGCTATTCATTACTAGCGATATTTCCCGCAAAAAAACGCTAAGTGGGAATACAACTTCTTTCCATGAAACTTAAAAGACACCAAAACTGTTTCACCGAAATTTACTTAAAATGTCAAAATCGCCCGTTGGAGTTTTGGGTGCGAGAATTCCATGCTGGTGCTCACCGTAATGCAGCATCCGCCTGTTGTCAGCACGGATTCCAGCTTTCCCGCGTGGTCTGTACGCCTCTCATTTTATGAAGGGTCTGGATGCTTATGTGGTTTAAAAGGACCACTTCAAGGTCTCTGTATTGAAACCATTTAACCCAGCTCCCAGTGCTTAAGTGAATGCAGGATTTGGCTGAGAACATTACCAACCCCGAAATTAGCTGAGAGGTGACAGAATGTGTTGAGAAATGAGGAGCTTGATCGAGAACTACTACTATTTTCATGTACTAAATGACTGGAGAAAAGGCAAAACCTCTCTGTATTCGTTTTAAATGACAGGCGGAGATTCTCGCAAAGTAGCCCCCGAATCGTCGCAGACGCTTTTCGCAATTGTGGCAGAAGATCGAGAGTTGCTTACAAGCAAGCTGATGGCGAAACTGACCAAACAACACATTCCAGTATCAAATTTACCATCGAAACACGAACTGTAAGGCGGGGATTTGAGTTCAACCCTCGATCTTCTGCAGCTCCATGGTGCTTAGGTGGGGGAGCAGTGCGAAACAGCAAAGCGCTAACCTTCCACGATTACGCGAGCTGAGCGACACGCTGTGCGACACGAGAAATCGTCGTAGACACTCTTCGCCATTGTGGCAGTAGAGCGTGTGGAATTCATCGTAGAGCACATCGCTGCGTCACGACCAAAAACAACTGCAACTCGCTGTACATCTTTTTTTCCCTTCCC